TCTCTCTCTCTCTTTGTGTGTGTGTGTGTGTGCGTGCGTGTGTATGTGTGTGAGGGATTCATGGGGGAAATCGGGATGGTAACTTGAGGATAGAACGACAGTAAAGGAAAAGGCGATCATGATGCTCGTGTGGGACTATTGATTGGCCGGACATGGGATGGATGGCAAATGTGGGTCACCGTGGGTGAGGATAGGACGTGGAAAGGGGGGAGAGAAAAGGGATGGAGGAAGCGAGACGATTGGGGTAACAGTGTGACGTACTGTTTTCTGCAGCCGCGCGGTTTTCTGCGCAAGGCTATTTCGGGGGATGAAATTGGTTGAGTCGGGACGGCCTGGTAAATTAAATGGATGCCCCTGTTTTTCTTGTCTCTTTCAAATGAAGACTGGTCTGGTCCCACGACGGTTGATAGTTGATCGCACCTTAGCGAGCACAAAAGATAACTATTTTCATAGCTTCTTTCTTGTTCTCCTATGGGAGATAGGAATTTTGGCACGGTCATCGCGCGGGAAAATCTTTTTGAATTTTCAACTGAGGTCGAACCCCCGTGGGCTCCCGGAATTTGTTTTGTTCAGATTTTCTTTCTGCAATTAGGATTTAGATTAAGGAATCTGGGCGCATCTCAATTTCTGTTGCGCGCCAGCGAGTACGAGACGTGGGTCATCAGTCATCGTCCGTTGGACCGAAGGGCAGACCTTGTGCATGCATATGCAAGCCCGATCAGAAGAACGCGGCCTACACGCATGTCTCTAGTACCCTAGCTCGGTCCAACTTTTCAAATGACTGAGTTTCCGCCTGACCCCACAGCATGAATTTTGAACTCCCTTTTCGTATTACTGACCTCGAGTGTCTAAGAGATTCATAATTTCGGGAGTATTGGGAGCACGTGTGTTTATCTGCATGACCGAGAAGAGAACTTCCGAAATTTTCCTACCCGATGGAAAACGAGTGCATTTGCGAGTGGGATATCGATCGAGCTCGAGAGCGTATTCCCCACCACCCGGAATTTCCCAGCTCATACACGTGTCACCTTGTCACGGAACCGGGAGTAATTATTCTGGAAACCGACTTCCCTCCCTACCACAACATACTACCCTTCCATTCGCTCACCATCATCCCCTGGCACACAATCGCTCCATATTGGCCCCAACCCCCGTTGTCAGGCGGCCACAAGTAGTGCGCCGCCTGAAAACGGCAGTTTAGGGGTTTAGGCTCAAGGTTAAGTCCGCGTTTTGACAGTGCTTTGGGATGACCGGGCTGCAGGAATTATGAGAACTCAGGGTACCCCTGATTCTGCACGCACTAGATTTTAAGAGTAACCCCCAAAGACAGCAAGATGGATGGGTGCACTAAGCACAACTAGAGACCGTCATTTCCGGTCGCTCAGAGGACTGAGACCGTTTTGGCCTGCCGCGGACAGGGATCGCGGAAACGGACCTCGCCGCGACATTTTGACGGCATACAACCGGGGCCGAAATGAGG